TGATTTTCATAAACTTGAAACTAAACAGCTGGTTTTTGGTAATTATCACTTATTTCAATATTCTTTTTTCTATATATTCACTTTTAATCACACATTTATATAATAAAATATTCTGTACGTAAACCTATTTTTTTTCTACATTTTAACCACTCATTCTCCAAAAAATACTATTCAAAACTCTATTCAAAAAATCACTATTCAAAACATGTCTTATTTATCCTGCACCATCAAATATTTCTTTGAATTAATGAAAGGAAAGAGAGAATGCCCAAATGTTAAAAAGTTGCCCCATTAAATGAAGGGAATGTATCAAGTGCACAAATGTATCAACTAAATTGTCCCACCAAGCACAATATATATTAAAGAAGAAAAAGAATTATAAATAAATACTTTTTTATAAATTCCTATAAATTATTGTTGGAAATGAGGAAGTAATTAAAAATACACCCTATAACTCAAAAAAGCTGCTCTACCTAATAGTCATCAATCAAGGTGTTCTTATTTCAATAAATATTAGAAAGCAAACACTGCATAATAATATTTATTTGAATAAATCTGCAAGGTACAGGCTTTTTTGACAGAAGTTGAACAGGATGGCAACACCCTATTAGCCTTCTTTTTTTCTTTTTCTGACAAAGAAAATCATCCAAGTGTAATTTCTGTTGATTTTTTGTTGATTTTCTGTACCTATAGCAAAGTTCTATTTATTAAACGTGAGATTCATACAGAACTCGATATTTTAAATTTTAAATATATAGGATTAAATGGAGAAAAGCAAATAAAGAAACCATAGTTTTATTGTAAACACAGTTGATTAAGAAGAAAATTATTGCAGAAAAAACATATTTTTATTCCAAACATGTTAGAAGGAAAATCAAGTTCCAATATTATACATATATAGATAACAATGCTCTATCTAGCTAAAACATCCCAACATTTTTTTAGATGACATTCAGTCCGAGATAAAGATTTAGGTCTGTAATCTCAAAACCGAATCAACATCCTAACATCTCTATATATAAAAACTTGTACCTAAATTTCCATGTAACACAACACAAACACAGAATTGATTATTATTGCAATTACCTACATAATTTTCTGTTCCTGTCAATAAGGAGGTCGAGGATGTGCCCAAGCATATGCTTCATGATTCAACTGTCCACCATTTGCTAATAAATTCGGCGAAAAATTGTAAATTGGAAGTAATGAAGGATCAGGAATCTCATGTTGTTGTGGTCCACAGCTTGTTCCGATCCCTGGAGGAGAATTTTCTGTTTCTCCGGCCACGGGAGCCGGGGCGGAGACACCTCCATCTTCATCATCTTCAAGTGGCAATCTTTCATAAGTTGCCTTAGAAAAAGTGGCAGCGACAACCATGACTGGCCCTGCTGCCACTAGGGGTCCTACTACGCTTCCCCCTACCACCTGACCTGGACCACCGGCTAGGTATACCGTCAGGCCGGTGGCCCCGGGAGGGGCGGGGCCAGGGAGGAAAGCTCCGGTTAATGACAGAATTTCAAACCTTCCATGTAGTGCCACAGCGGCTCCAGGTGCAGAAGGCTGTCTTATGGTGACACTAGTCACTGATCCACCACCACTCAATACACATACCCCTCTTTGACGCCTCCTGGCGAATTGGGCTATGCTCTCAGCCACATCTGTGCCACCAGCCACCTCCATGACGTGGCTACGCAGGGCGTTAGGGCTGTCCCGGGTGACGAAAATTGGTGGTTTTGGCTTGTTCTTGGATCCCGGCGGCCGACCTCGCTGTCTACGTGTGCCAACCTCAACAGCACCCTCTTTAGGCTCATCTACAGCATCTTTATCATCAGATTCATTGCTTCCACCACTGTTTTCATTGATCGGAAATTGCCTGTCGTTTTTGTTCATCAGAGCCGATTCCACCACTGGCAAGCCGCCGGTCCACCACGGATTACTATTAGCCATACTTGCAGATTTCATTGGGTCAGCTGAAAGAAATGAAAGATCAAAAGTTGATTATTGATCTTTGCTTCCTCTTAACTCTCTCGATTGAAATTGAGTGTGCTAACAAAATTCAAACCCTAATCTCTTTCTTGTTGAAAGAAGAACAAAAATCAAACGCACAAAATTACTTAGCCTTTTCAAGAAAGCAGATCCTTAATTTCTTCCAAGATCTAGAAACTTCTTTAACAGACTAAAATTAAAATAAAATGATACCAGAATTGAGGGAGTTGATTAGGATGATGTGAAGAAGAAGAAGAAGAAGAGAATTAGATGCAATGCGATGTTTATAGGTAAAACAAGCTACCAAGCAATCTAAGTGGACTTAAAACACTGTAGAAAAGGAAAAAAAACCTTTGAAACCGAATCAAGAATGAAGAAATAGGGAAAAGAAAAAGGCAGAGAATTGAAAAACTATTGGTATACAGAATACTATGTTTGGTACCTAAAACACAAACACTATGCATTGAAACATATGTGCATATTTCATTATGTTTTTGATATGCCCATGTAGTGATTTGAGCAGCCGAGGTTTTTCTTTATATTATACTACACACACACACACACACTCACTCATTATCTCTCTCTAATTTGAGTCACTGTTCACAGGAATTAGGGTTGAGGGTGGTGGGGTAACGTGCGAGTGGGCAGGTGGGGAGAACGTCGCTGTCTCACCTTATATTAATCAGCTCGTAAATATTGTTTATACAGAGAGATGTGTGTATATTGCTTGTCGGAAAACTTATAAAATTGATAAAAAGTGTCAAAATCAATAATTAATTTGAACCACAAATGAGACACAGCAGCACTACTTTTTATTAAAATTAGTTGTCTAACTCTCCTAAACTAGTACGTAATATGTTCTTCATATCATATATATTTATGGTTGTTGGAGGAATTAGTTTTCCAATGAATTTTATAAGGAAATTGTTCCATAAAGGTGCTACGCTCCTATTTGATTTGGATTAAAATTCAATTAAAATATCAAATTAACAATTAACTTTAATCATACATTTAGTGAAACCCACAATTTTTTAACTACACATTTCATCAACTTTTATCAAAATCAACTAAAAATTTTATTTAAATTTCTACCAAACAAGAGCTAAGTATAAAATCATCGTGTGTTTTGCGTGTCAAGTTGCTTTCAGAAAATTTAAAATTTTATAATGGTCAATACTCATTACCCTCCAATGGCCTTAGCCCATATAAAAAAGAGTATTACAAGATCCAAGTCAATTTACACCTTCAGTTGTACAAAATAAATGTGTACAAAAACTTGACCGTTTGAAAACTCACAAGTGAACAGGAACGTGATCAAGTAATATAGCAGTGTGTAAAGTGTCGAATCCACGATGACTACGTGTTTTGTCGAGTTAAAGTTAAAATCATCTTAATCGAATAGCAATAATAGCTTATAATAAATCTATATCTAATTTATCACGTACAAGAAATTAAAGTAAGAGTTTATCAAATTTATGAGATGTATTGCTAAGATCTAGAATCGCCCTTGTTCATCCATTTTTAGTTTAACAATTAAATTAACAATTTGTTATCATGCTAGTTGGTTGATATTACAAATTTATTTAAAAACATCTCTCAATAACAATTAAATCTAATCCTATATATGGTATTTTTATATCTCTATAAAAGATACAAATATATAAGAAAGCATTAAACGAATTAGAACATCGATAATAAAATTCACAAACAGTTCAACTAGTGGCCAATTAATTGAAAAGCAAACTAAACCATAATAAATATCTACGCATTCAAAGGAATTAACGTCAAAATAATTAATTAATACTAAAAATTTCAAAACAATGATTTATTTATATCTTTAGCAATGTAAAAATCTAGCATAACATAATATTGAAATTAAACAAACAAAAGTGGAATGACATCACCGAAAATTGACGAAACATGAAATTTCTGGTATTAATTATTTCTTCAATTCCCAGCCTCTGTTTCGGCCACTCTGTGTATATAATATAGGAAAATGCTATGGGTACACATAGGGGTGTCCACAATGGACACCCAGCGCCTCATCATTGGTGGGGCGCCTGACAGCAACAGGCACCCTGCCAATGATGGGGCGCCGGGTGTCTATTGTGGACACCCCTATGGGTACACTTAGCACAACCCTATAATATATAATCTCTCCAACCTCCATTGTGTGAATAATTATATATAATATATGTCAGCCAACTGCCACAATTTCCACGTGTGAATATGTATTCAATTTCTGCCTTCTCTTTTTTTATTGCTCCAGCCGTTCGTTCATCTCCTCTTTTTTTTCTATTTTTTTCTCTACCGTGTATATATATACATAACCTAATTCACCAATATTTTAATACAACTAAAAGTTCAATTTGAGGCCCAATTAATTCTAATTCCCAATTAAATTAATGCTTGCTTCCAAATCCTCAATTCTTCCATATAATGCGAGTTGGTCCTTGTACATTGGAATTTGTCATTTTTCGCCACTTTTTGCTTCATTTCTTCAATTCTTTTTTTCATCCATAGAGTTTCATATATTAGACATAAAAGACAACAATTTAGAATATATTTTATCAAAAAAACTATCAAATGTCGTTATTTTATGTCCCCGAATAAGTGTAAAAATTACATTTATCATATATATTCAAAAGCTAGTAGATTAAAGATAAAATGCATTTAGAAAATTTATGGCAAATCTTAGAAAATGTAAAATTATATTTGGAAAGTATTTATAAATTTATAAATAGATTTAGATGAATAGTGGATAAGTGGATGGCATTCCTAAATGCCTCGAAATATGTAAATAAAAAATGATATGAGTGTTTATAAGCATAAGCCAAACATAGGCTTAGCTCTTCGTCTCGATGATAAGTGAATAACCTTTTCTATTTACTTGTAAAAAAAATGTTATTTCTTTTGCGTGAAACACTCTTACGTATCTCACAGTCAAAATTTAAGCAACTTACATATTTTTAACTTTCAGAAATAAATAATTTATTTAAAAACTTATTTCCAGTTACCTTTTTGAGCTTAGCTTAACATACTCTAATTCATTTAAATTGGTGATAGTGATAGTTGAACAAAAATATTTCACATGATCGGACATCATGTTGGTGATATTAAATCTATAGTTGTATTACATATATAAATTGTTTATGAAAATATATATTTATTAGATAAGACCTCCATACAACAAACTTTGTTAGATGTTTAAGGTGCAGTTGATTTGGCTAAAACTTTTGACGTAGGCATATCATCCTAAACAGAGATGCAACATGAACCAGAAAATATTTTGTAATTATGTAAGGTGAATAATCATAAATATGGAAAAAAAGTTGAAATGATCTAATTACTGTTGAAAAAAATTGAGTTAGTGGGTGACTTTGGCACGAATTTTGAGCGGAACCCATTTGACTATTTTGGAAGATGAAAGTCGATTTGTGTTCTCCTCCATGAGCACATCGAAATCATATACTTACTTGTCAAAAAAGATGTTCGGGTGAATGAGAAATTGAAACTCCAAGTATGCCATGTGAAAAGAGTTTATATTAGTAGGAAAACTAAAAATTAAAGTTTGTCCCACATAGAAAGTGGATGAAAACTAAAACCATTTTATAAAGGATTTCACTTTAGAATGGTATAATCATGTGTAACATAGAGGCTCTCTCCACGTGCGCGCACGGGGGGTGTAAATCATGAACTGAAATGGGCTTTGGAACTTGAACTCATATGCGAGCACGACCTGCACACATGAATGTTGGACCAGATTGACCAAAAATTTGCCCCTTAGGCGTGCCTACGTTTTGGAATTTGTTTTTTGCTTTCTAGACTGACTTTTGGGTTTTTGAAACTCCAAAATGTCTGAAACTCCCTAGTTATTACAAGTGAGTTATGGAGACTTTGGGAGTTAAAAGTCTATATTAGAGAACCATTGTCCTCTAGTTCAAACACACGAAATTTTCCCATATTCTGCATACTGTCGAAACTCCAGTTCTGCATTCTGCTTCTGTCTATCTTGCATACTGTTTTCCTTCCAAACCTTGTTTCGATTTCCTGGTGGTGATATTGTTCGAGCACTAACCCAGTTCGCCGGAGTAAAAACTGTCATGTTCAGATTTTAATGGTTAATCGTTGTATCCTGGGAAGCAGATACTCAAATTATACCTCAAGCACTAACGGTGAGTGGATGAATCTATTTTAAGGAAACTGAGTTTGCACATGCCTCGGTTTGGGAATTTTTTTTGTTGCAATTTCTATTTCTTATTTTGTTATTTTACTGCAGTTAACGAATTATTTTCCTTGTTGTTTTTCGTAAGTTGTTTATCAAATCTGAACCAAGACAATCCATAGATTCTTGGATACGTAAGGGAAGAGAAGCTGAAAAATTAATAAATGTTTTCTGTGTGTATCCGAGCATGTAATTAGATTATTTTTCAGTCTAGGAAATCATTTAACATTTGTGTGGTGACTATAGCTTTCTATTTTAATAAGACAAAAGTCACTTTGATTATCTTGATTATTTTTTTTTTTGTTCATCTTCACAAATAAAGAAGTTTGTGTTTCAGTCTAGTAGTTTATCCACTTAAATATTACAACAAACTTAAAATAGATTGAATGAAATTTTTTCCTTATATTGAACACTTGAAAACAGAAATTTATTTCTTTTGTTGTGTTTTTTTTTTCATTTCAGAAATGACAACTGATTCCATCAATATGGAAGTGTCCCAAGCTATGGCTACTCAAACTGTTGCTCAGACTGTGGCTAAAGTGCCAAGTCATGTTGTGAACCAACTAGTGGCTACTGTTTCGGTTAATCATGGTGAAAAATCGGAGAAATTCAATGACTTGAATTTCAAGAAGTGGCAGTAGAAAATGCTATTTTATCTGACCACCTTGAATCTTACGAGATTCTTGATTGAAAGTACTCCAAAACTCAATTAGGGTGAGAGAGATGTTCAAAAGATCAGTGCACTTGATGCTCGGAACCATTTAGATTTTTTGTGCCAAAACTACATTATGAACATCTTAGCAGACTCACTATACAACGTGTATAGTACTATGAAAACTGCTAAGGAGCTGTGGGAATTTTTGGACCGAAAATATAAAACTGAGGATGTCGGTACTAAAATGTTCATTGTCGGCAGATTCTTAGATTATAAGATGGTGGACTCCAAAACAGTAATCAATTAAGTGCAAGAACTCCAAGTGATTCTTCATGAAATTCATGTTGAATGGATGATTTTGAGTGAAACTTTTCAAGTGGCTGTAATTATTGAAAAATTGCCCCCTGCATGGAAAGATTTTAAGAATTATTTGAAACACAAACGAAAGGAAATGAACGTTGAAGAATTTATTGTTAGACTTCGAGTTGAAGAAGACAACAAGAGTTCTGAAATGAAGTTGTTCAATCCTAGTGTTGCTAAAGCCAATATTGTGGAACATGGTCAAAGCAGTAAGAACTACAAAA